AAAGAGTAATTTGATTGGTGTGTCCGAAAATCTAATAATGTTAATCGAAAAAGTATTCGATACTTTTAAACGGCTTCCTTGCTATTTGAGTGCAAATTGGATTTGCAAAAGTTTAATCATATTTTATATGCAAATGCAGTTCAATTTATTTTTATGACATTCTCCTTGTCAGTATTGACTTGCATATACAGATAAAGATCTCAAATATATGCATACACGCATACGAGTATGTCCAAACACACACAAATGTGTCTGTATATCTGCATACATACATATACATATATATATATATATATATATATATATATATATATATATATATATATATATATATATATATATATATATATTGGGTGAGTGGAGATATATGTATACATGTATGTGGTATTATATACCTGTGTATTATATATATACGATATATTATATATTGATACCTATATTATATATATTACATGTATACCTAGGTAGATATATGACACACATCATGTATACATATATATAAATACTATATCCATGTATATGTCTCCCTCTATCCCTCCCTCTCTCTTCTCTCTCTCCTCTCCCTCTCTCTCTCTCTCTCTCTCTCTTCTCTCTGTCCCTCTCGTTCTCGTCTCTCTCTGCTCCCCTGTCTGTGTCTCTATCTCTCCACTGTATCCCTGTCTCGCCTCTCTCTCTCTCCATCTCTCCCTCTCTTCTGCTCTCTCTCTCTCTATCTATCTATATACTAATCCTATAAATCTGTTGACTCCTTCCACTCCCTCGATCTATCGGCCTTTCTGCCTCGATCATTGACTCGAACTAGTGCATGATCTTCATTGCGCGGCTCGCGAGCAGTGGCGGCTCGCCAAGACCTGAGTGGGCGGCTCGCAAAGAAGAGAGAGAGAGAGAGAGATAGAGAGAGAGCGAGAGAGAGAGGAGAGAGAGAGAGAGAGAGAGAGAGAGATAGAGAGAGAGAGTAGAGAAATGACGCTCCTTCCGCAGCAGGAACTGTACTTGTAGGTTTAACATAAAATCCATGCTCGGCGACCCATACTTTGCATCTATCAAAATATGTAAAAAATATGTAATTTAGTTTCCTGGTATATAGTGCATGTGCCTCTCAATCTGATATTCCCTTGACCTTTTGGCATCTCTTGAAAACATATCAATAACACTGATCTAGTGACCATTGTACGGAGTTTATATAATGTAACCTCTAACTGGGTGACAGGGAAATAAAAGCTTAATGGCTTAAAAAAAACCTCCTTATTTTTGATAGAGCAAGCCACACGAGATGTTAAAACAAGGGATTGACGTCTTAGGTATTGTCGGGTCGGGCTGGAGGTCCTCCTGGCGGCCCAGCCCAGTTCAGACGTGACCATCGTACCGCCCACGGCACACTCTGCTTTGACCGGTCAAACGCCGGCCTTAAGTATCCTAGGCGGGAGACGAGTGTAGGTGAACGTGCCCAAGCCACGCTGTGGGCACGCCGCTTGTGCTTAAGGCCGCGGCTAGGTCGCGTGGGGGACTCGACGCTTCGTGGCGTAACCCGGCGGGGTCTAATGCCACGTTGGTCTGCAACGTACATTGTATATTGCTCCGCTGCCACCTACTTCAACGAGGCTCGTCCTCGAGGCGATCTAGTCTTCCTCAAGGGTGACCCAACCTGGCAGGTCCTAACTTGCTCGTCCTTGATCTCGGGTGCGGTATCCTTGGTGCATCTCCGTGGCTGCTCGTTCTGTGTCGTCATCCTCGCTCTGGTCCCTGGTAATCCGTTCGTCCTCGACATCCTCACATCCTCGACTGGCAACATACAATATACTGTATGCAGACCACGTGGCAATAGACCCACGTGGAGGCTTCAGTAGCCACGTAGCGACACGCCCTGAGCGGCGTGCCCACAACGGCTGGGCGGTTCTCCTCGCCCCCCAAGCCGGCGTCTCCGGCAGATGTTCCTATGAATCTCATACCGCTAGAATGTAAGAGTTATTTAAGGGACCTCTAAACATTGGTGACAGGGAAGTAGTTAAAGCTTAGTGGCTTAAAATCTCATTGTTGATAACAGAAAGCACACAGAGAATAAACACAACGATGACAGGGCTTGAGTTATGGGCTGGTCACTTGGGGTCACCGGCTAGCCCACCTCAACGGCAGACCGGCCCAGCGGGCTGTGGTGACCTTGACCGCCCCACGGCACACTCTGCTTTGACAGGGTCATCCTTGGAGAATAAGGAGCGGTGACTGGAAGCCAGGGGCGGAGCTACAGAGGCGTGGCTAAAGAAACTGCCAATGCCCGACCTTCACGTGGGCGTGGCCGCCTGGGGACACTGGTCATTTTTCCCTTTGCCTTGCCCAGGGGCGTTGCCGCCTGCAGCGGGCCTACAGGACCTGGGGCTGACCTCTCTCTGCAGCTGAGGGTCAGGTCAGTGGGCCTGGTCATATTTCCCTTGGCCACCTGGGGTCAGGTCAGCGGCAGATGTTCCTATGAATCTCATACTCGTTCACCTGACTCGATCTAGTGACTCGTTCACCTGACTCGATCTAGTGACTCGTTCACCTGACTCGATCTAGTGACTCGTTCACCTGACTCGATCTAGTGACTCGTTCACCTGACTCGATCTAGTGACTCGTTCACCTGACTCGATCTAGTGACTCGTTCACCTGACTCGATCTAGTGACTCGTTCACCTGA